CGCTTGAGCGGGGGGAGAAGGAAAAAAGGGGGCAGCCCACCCCCACCCCCATACCTCCACATTTGGGGGCTCCTGGCTGCAGGTGCCTGAAGGTGGGTGCTCCGCTGCTTCCCCCGAGGATGCTGTTGCCAGAAGAAGCCAGGAGCCCCCCCCAGCTGCCCCCCCACCACACGGCCTCAATTATTCATGTGCTGCCTTTCTCTGGGATATACGAGACGCACAGCCCTCCCTGCACCCAGTTCAGAGCGTGTGCAGAGCGACTCTGGTTACAAGCACGAGCCTATCCTCCCCCCCGCCCCGGTGACCCCTCTGCTCCCCTGCAGGCACCAAGCATCCAACCAAGGGGGGGAGCAGAGGGGTGCCGGATCCGGCCCCAGCAAAGGCATCACTGCTCCCCACCCAGGGCTGCGTCTCCCCTCCAGGGGGCTGGGCTGTGAAGACTGGGGGGGCTCCTCACTGGGGGAGGCTTCATTGTGGGAGGGGGACAGGACTTCTCCGCAGGACCCGAAGCAGGGCTGGGGGGCAGCTGCAGAAGACCTCGTCCAGCTCCCCTCACAACGACCTTTCCTCCTCCTCCTCCGTCACAAGCCCAGGGATTTCCTGCTGCAAGCTTGGCCGGGGGTGGGGGCTGGGGGCGCATGTGCTTCTGCTTGGAAAAGAGAGGATGGAAAGGAAAACAGGGAGAGGAGATTGCAAGGCAACTGCAGAAAACTTTATTTGGCTTTCCAGCAACTAACAGGAAGGAGCAGCGCGGGGCTGGGACCCCGATATTCCCTGCGGACTCCTGCGGAGGGTCCCGTGGGGGCGGTGCCCGGCCTTCATTTCAACTAGGAGCTTCCCCCACCCTGCCCCCAAGATGCTTCTCTGCCAAGGCGCGCAGCAGGCTGCAGACGGCTCCCTCGTGCTCCGTCTCCCCCTCTCGCTGGAAGACCCCGGCCAGCTCTCTCAGGCGCTGCTCCAGCCGCTTCTGCTCCATAGGGTGGTCCCCTGGGATGTCACAGCAGGCCTGGTAGGCCCTCAGGGCCTCCAGCCTCTGCCCCTTCTTGTGGAGGAGGAACTCCCCCCATTGCAGATAGAAGGCCTGCTGGCACCTCCTGCTGGCCGTTGGCAGCTGCTCCATCACGCCCAGGTAGACCTCTTCCTCGTAACGCGGGGTCCTCTCTCCGTACAATTTCGCCAGCTTCAGCCGGGCATATATGGATTGAGGATTGGCTACCAGAGACCGTCTGAAGCTCTCAATGGCATCCTCCACGATTTGGGCTCTCTCTTCTCTTGATGCTTGATCTAAGAGCTCCATGTAATAGATCCCAAGGTCATAGTGGAGGAGATGGTGGTCATGGTGGAGGGCGATGGTCTTCAAGGTGGAAATGGCGCGGAACAACGAGCAGGGCCTATAAACCTTGGTGGCAGCCCTCAGGAGTTCTGGGTTGAGACTGTTCTGGACCACTTCGTCCGCAAGGCTCACTGCTCTTCCATGGTCTTCCTTAAGAATGTTCGCCAAATATATTTTGGCTTCATAATTTTCCGGCTGGCTACGGATCAGCCCTTCCAGCAACCTCTGGCCCTCCTTTTTCACCTTTTCATCCCAAGAGTGGGTCCAGGAAGCGAAGGTGGAGAAGGCGAGGCCCTCCTGCAGCTCCTCGCTCGACTCCTGCAGCTCGAGGGCCTTCTGGAAGCACCGCTTGGCCAGCTCGCCATTCCGGAAGCCCATGGCCAAGAGGGACCAGCCCTTCTGGGCGTAGATCTCTGGGATTGGGGCCGAGTAGGGGTCGGGGCTGGACAGATCCCGGCAGATCTCTCGGATCTGGCCCAGGTAGAGCTCCACCCTGTTGTAATCGGTCAACTGGTAGTAGATCCAGGCGTAGTTCCCGTAGGTCACCAGGACCTGGCGGGAGAAGGTGCCCGGATGGTCCCTCTGCAAGGCCTCCTTTGCCTCCCGCAGGATGGCCAGGGCCTCTCTGGAACTTCCCTCCAGATGGCACAGATAGGCCTTCAGGGCGAGGTAGGTGGCCTGGTTACGGGACGGGCCGTGCTCCAGGCGGAGAGCCAGGGTCCCAAGGGTGTGCCTGACATCCACCTTGTCCTTGATCTCGAAGTCCCAGGTGAAGTGGCACTGCAGGCGCCGGAGTTTCTCCTTCGAGGGGTCTGCTGTTGGGGGGGGCGGGGAGGGGGGAGGGGAAGACAGAGCAGAGGAGCCGAAGGTAAGTGGCAAACGGCATCTGACCTTGTGGGGTTCACACAATACATTGACCATCACGGAGCTGTTCAGGCCAGCGGGAGGATGTGAATACGGCCAACTCTGGCTATTCGTGCCACCATGCAGACCCCGGGGACCGCAACCTTCGGGAGTCCACCTGGAAGGCAGATTCCAAGGAAGGGATCCCATTCCAGCCCCAGCTCTGCGTGAGGAGCTGCACCGCACAGGGGGCCTCTGCTCCCCGCTCTTGAAACCTCTGGGCAGCTTTCTTGCCCCCTTCGCCCTTCTGGAAACGCCCCTCCGGCTGCCTTCGCCTGTCCCTGCCCCCCCATTCCTGGGGTGCCAACATCTGCACCCTGCGACCCTCCCAAAGAAACCATGCTTGGCACCTGGTGGGGACAGCACCACCAAGTTTGCCGCTGACCTGGCTCTGCCTCCCCTGCGAACACCCAGGGGCTCCAAAAAGGGACGCCGTTCTGCCCCCGGGGAGGAATAGGTCTCCCATGAAGCCAGGAGGGGGCAGATGGCGGGAAGGGAGGGGCACTTTTGAAGCTGAACGTATGTGACTGAGGACTGCTCTAAAGTTAGAGGAAATCTCCCTTGTCCTGGCCACTTGGGGGGGCGTGCCTCTGCCGGAGGGGGCTCTGTGGGGGCGCAAAGGCTGCCCGGGCCATGGGGAACCGGCCACTCAGCCGGAGTGGGCAGCCTGGGCGGTGGGAGGAAGCAGGAGGGCTGCTGGAGACTCTGGGGGCCTCTAGGGTGGGGGGTTGCGGCG